CTGGACAATGGAGAAAGGAGATGGCGGCTGAAGGGTTTCCTTAGGGTTAGAATGTAGCAACAGGAGCGTCTTCCACCGGGAATGGAAGGCACGGGTTTAAGTCTCGTGTCTCCATTCAAACTATTAAGCAATTTGGCAACTCTGGTCCCTCCTCCCTACAACCTTCTCAATTCAAATCCAAAATTTACCATTTGGCCCTTGACTCCATAATCCTTTTCAATATAAGTCCAAAAATTCCAAAACAACCCCTCCTCTACAAACTATTCTCAAATAAGATCCATAAATTACCATTTCTACCCTGGCTTCAAGAATCCTTCTCAGATTAAGTCCGATATTTACTCTTTAACCCTCGGAAATCAAAATTATACCATACACCCCCTTGACTTATAAAAATCTTTACAAATTAAGTCCCACAACTACACTTTAACCCCTGGAGGTTCAAATCTTGTCATTTGGCTCCTTGAAACCGACAACGCACTAATTATTATTTAATTTCTGAGCTCTAACAATATAAAATAATAATAATTACTTCATGTGGCTCCTGATTTATTATTTAATTAATCTCTTTAAAATGGGATGTTACAATTTAAGAATGTTGTTATTTTTTAAGAATTTTAATTCATTTTTGTTGATATTCTTTTAAAATATGTACAATTATATTCAAATGTATAAGGCTTTTAGTTTGTAAGAATATGCATAAATTTGTATTTAAGTTCGGATGTATAAAAATATATTAGAATGTTGTTATTTTTCAACCTCGGATTCAAGAATTTTGTTACTCTTCAATAATATTATAATAGAATAAAATTCTGAAAGAACCTCATTCTAACAAAAAAATATTCTGACAGAATAAAATCAGTTATGTTTACAAATTACTTTAGAATTAAGATTGAATTAATTAAAAAAATCAGATTTTTAAAATTAGGAGAATTTATTATCACTAAAAATCCGAAAATTTCCTTTTATAAATATAGTTAATTGTCCAAAATACCATTTTGCTAAAATTTATGTGATTATATGGTACATGTTATCCCATTGTACTATCATACACCCTCAAATCATGTCCATTGATTAATTTCATCCGTTGGTCCAGATCTGTGCATTTTGGCACACAATAGTTAGTAAAAACAAAATAACCTAAACCTATATATATATATATATATATATATATATATATATATAGAGAGAGAGAGAGAGAGAGAGCTAGGTTCAAATGTTTCTAGCAACTATTGTGTGACTAAATGCACCAATGAGAATTCAAGAAATAATAAATAATTAAATAAATCATTAACGGGTATTTTGGACATTTTGTACTTTTAATTAAGGAAATCATTTAATTGAAATCATACAATTATGGAAATAAAGTAAATATATTTGACCTAGTCCTTCACCTTCGTTTCCTGCCTGGAACATCACCACTATAGAGAAGAAATTCAGCGACTTCCCACCGCCGATTGCAGCCCTTCCTTGGGATCGATTAAGAGTCATCGGCCATTTTCTGACTGTTTTTGTGTTTCTTTCTTCTCCGATCAACCGAGGACCGAAGTCTTTCCCTCCCTGCGTGATTGTTGTCAGATAGAAGAAGGAGCAGCCGTCGCTGCCACTTGACGGAAGCACTGCTGCCTCCGTTCCTTTCCTTTCCACGATTGGTGGCTGACGGAGACGGAGATAGTGAACCAAGGGAAGCCTGCCGGAGATTAGATTTCCCTTCCTTGCGATATGTTCAACCACCGGTGAACCCATTGGAGCTGCATTCAGGGGCTTTGCCATGGAAGTTGTTCTAACACTATATGTAAGTGTTTGATATTCCCTAATTTTATTTACTTATTTGATACTATATTCTTGATTTTTTGAGATCCATCATATAAATATGATGAAGTCTTCGGTCAATGATTCACTTGCTCAACCTGAATTTTACCAGTACATCAAAAAATCAGATGGTGAAGTCATTCGGCTTCAGGCACATAAAATTTTAGAATAGTTTCAGATAACATATAAAACAATTACTTTATCATGTTTGTATTCTATCTTGTAGAATTTGATATTTGAAAAAGACATTGGTGAAAAAATTATCTCTTATCTTCCTCATGAATATCAAGCACCAAAGGAATAATCTTCAATTGGTAGCAGTAGCAAAATCGCCTTAGTATCTAATATGATGAGGGTAATTCTGCCAGAATGGAATCACGAATTCCAATTATGTTAGAATGAAATCTAATATGTTGGTTTGATAAAATGTTCACTTCAAATTATTCTACTTATTCTAATGTATGCTGTATAAAATCATTCTCATGTTTATCTCCTTTTTGCAACTCCTTGTATAAAATCATTCTCATGCAATACAATTTTGACAGAATGCCAATCTCACAAAATGTCAATCTCATAGAATGCTAGCATATTTTGAAGCGGCTTAGAGGTCAAACATACACAAGACATCTAGAAACGAAACAAGAAAGTGAATGAGGATTCTTTCAAGAATGTCGATATTTTTTTTGCAAGAGATTTCAAGAATGAATGTAATTTATGTTCATAGTTGTATTCTTTAATAATGAATGTAATTACTTATTCTAAACTATTAAACTTCGTCTTATATAAAATTTGTATTCATTAAAAATTATTGGTCTTGATAATATGTGTTTATAATATTATTTTCATAGTTGTATACGATTCTGACAGAATTACAGAATATCATTCTAACAAAATAACATTCTGATAGAATAAAATCGGTTTATGCTTACAAATTACATTTGAAATTGAATTAATTTGAAAAAAATCAGATTTTTTAAATCAAAATCTTAATTATCCCATAAATCTCGACTTTTCCTTTTTTAAATTCGTCTCAATTGACTAAAATGCCCTTATGCTGAATTTTGTGTGATTATATGGTACATGTTACCCTATTGTACTATCATAGACCCTCAGATCATGATCTTTGATTGTATTTCATCCGATGGTCCAGATCTGTGCATTTTGACACACAATAGTTAGTAAAAACAAAATAACCTAACCTTATATATATATATATATATATATATATATATATATATATATATATATATATATATATATATATATATATAGGCTTAGGTTATTCTATTAAAACTAATTATTGTGTTATTGTATGCATAAATGTGGGCCAATCATTTTACTTATTTTAAGAAAGTGATTAACTCATATTATTGAATTAAAAATAATTGAAAAATACCATCCAGTTTAAGTAGAAGGGTATTTTAGTCAATTAATACATATTTAATAAAGGAAATTTGCATATTTTAAGGGATCATAGATTCTATTAATTTTAAAAATCCGAATTTTAATAATTATAAGGTTTTTAATTCGGACATTCTGATAGAATATGTTTATGAGTATATTCAAAAATAAAAATATTCTTGAGCCGTAAATAATAAAAATATTCTTGAACCTATTTCTTGATCATGAATTTAAAAACTTATTGTAGAGTAACAAATTCTTGAACAATCAATTGAAGAATAAAAACAAAAAATACATTATTTCTTATAGAATACGGGTAACAATTGTTAAGAATTACATTTATTGTTAAAGAATAAAACTAAAAAACTTTCAAAACGGGAAAGAAAACATAAAAAATCTAACAACGACTAATACATTCTAAGAAAATAATGTGGTCCGTTTCAATTTTGTGGTCCGTTCTTCAAACATCAACTTCTGTGATTCCAACAGAATTGGAATTCGTGATTCCATTCCAACAGAATTGGAATTCGTGATTCCATTCGAATAGAATTGGAATCTCACCAATATCATCCATTGAATCATCTACATAAACATACTTGATACATTTTCAGAATTCAACCTTGTCAAGATCCTGCAATGTCCACATAAATGAAGTGTTAAATCAGAAAAAAAAAACATAAATTGAAATATGTATCAATTCATAAAATGCAGCCAAAAAACTGCTCATTCTGATATGTATATTAGTCCCAAATAAAATCAATTTCCCAACAACGATTGTTAATGAGGAACTTTCCATCCCAACTAACACACACCAAGACAAAATGAGTAACACACAGAAGATTTGAAGAGATATATTACGACCAAGAACAACAAATTAGCGGTGATGACGAAATCAATATCACCATGAATCATGTTAATGAGGAACTTTCCATGGCTTCTTTGACTATTTCTCCCTGAATAACGAATTAAAATAAGAAAATATATATACTCCATTCACAATGAAGCTCACACAGATTACATTGCATCACTATGTGAAAACACAAACACTAATGACACATACATATAATTACTTTGTCTGGCTTTTCATCGAATACCTGGAGTGCAGGTTTGGTGCACAATCACAAATTATCAATAACAAAATCAAACGTGACCATTTGAAGGAGGAGACGATGGCATCTGATAAGTTTGACCACATTCAGTAATAAATATCAACAACTTCACATCGGCAATTCAATAAAGAGGTGGAAAATAGGAATCGGGTTGAATCGACAAAAAGAGGCGATTACCTGATGGTGAATGCGATCTCATGCCGATGGAGGAAAGGGATTAGATTCACATTTTATTTACTTGTTGATTGTGTGTGTGTGCGCGAAAACAGCAGAACCACCGATTGGAAGCAGCTATTGATCGGAAGCAGCGAACAGGGGGAAGCAGTGATCGTATATTTGTTCTGTTTTGGAGCTAGGGTTACGAATGGGATAGAATACAATTTGTTTATTGTTTTAAAAAGGAATAAAGGTAGGTCAAAGTATTTACCATAATTATAGGAGTGTATTTGTAGAAATTATTTATCAAATTACTAAATTACCCTTATTTATTTGTTTGATTATTTATTTATTTTTTAAATATTGATTGGCCCACATTTATGCATACAATAACACAATAATTAGTTTAAACAAAAGAACCTAGCTCTCTCTCTCTCTCTCTATATATATATATATATATATATATATATATATATATATATAATATATATATATATATATATATATATATTACTTTGTTTTATTTTATATTCCATTCTCTCCCAAAAGGGTCGTGAACAAAGTGTCAACTGTTAACGACGATAAGCAAGTTTCCTTGCTAAACCCTCAATCGCAGAAACCATCAAAAAAACTTTACAATAAATTATTCCATTCTCTCGCACGCACCAATTACACTCCGGCGACCACTGCGAGCCGACAAGAGGATCAAATTGAAGGTTAAAGAATATGCCTTCCGACCAACATCAGCCCTTACTCGCTTCCGACGAACAAGAAACTGCTTACGATCCCACCGAAAAAGTACATGTCGTTGGAGTAGTCGACGACCAAGACCACTTCGATGAATACGGCGATAAATCACCACCCTTCTCATGGCGGAAGCTATGGCTGTTCACGGGACCTGGATTCTTGATGAGCATAGCGTTTTTGGATCCGGGTAACTTGGAAGGTGATCTTCAGGCGGGTGCGATAGCCGGTTATTCATTGCTATGGTTGCTTTTGTGGGCTACGGCAATCGGATTGCTCATTCAGCTTTTATCGGCTCGGCTTGGTGTTGTCACTGGGAGGCACCTGGCTGAGCTGTGCAGGGAAGAGTACCCAAATTGGGCGGGGAAGCTGCTGTGGATCATGACTGAGCTCGCACTAATTGGGGCTGATATTCAAGAAGTTATTGGGAGTGCTATCGCTCTCAAGATTTTGACAATTGGGTTTTTGCCCCTTTGGGCTGGTGTTCTCATCACTGCCTTCGATTGGTAAACTTTACTCTGTTCTTACCTTTTGATATTTATCGATTGTCGTTTACCAGTATAAAATTTAATTTTTAATTATATTCGAATGTTTTAATCTGTTGATCATCTGTTCTTGAACCCTAAAAGTCGAAGATCGAACTGTCTGTCAAAAATTCAAAATGTCTTTTCAAAATCTGACTTGGGTTTGTCTGTTTTGGATGTTTCTCAAAATTGGATCCAAAATATTTTAATCGATGAATATGATTTTGTATACCAAATTCATTCGATGGCTTTTCTGTAGTTTGTCGACTTCCGTTTGTCTGTTTGCATGTTTGCCTTTTGGGTTCGGGGTTTGATATTCAGTTTCTGTTTGCTTTTCACTGTCGATATTACCAATTTGATTTTGGACAGCATGTTAATTTCATTTTCGTAATCTTGGAATGATTTAATCTGTTAATACTATGAAAACCTAACCAAATAAAGATTTCAAAGCCTCATAATCCTGAAAATTGCACCTTTTAGATTGTTGTTCATTTAATCCTGATTTTTTTTCCTAGTTTGACAGATCATGTCCTGTTTTTCACTTCTAATATCAATTAATTGTTGTTACAGTATTTCATTTTACTCTGAAAGCATTTTGGATTGGTTCAATCCATAGATCATCTGATATTAAATCTTAAAAATCAAGATTGCAGCTTTCCACAAATTGGGTTTATTTCTTTTCATCAGCCAAAAAATCAAACTCTAAGACAATCAAGACAGGAAAAAGGGTCTTTTCAAAATTTGATTTTAGGGTTCTAGGTTGTGATCAGTAAATCTGATTTCTTAATCTTGATTCTTCTGGATGTGGTTTTCTCGCTCTTCCTAAAAAAGAAACAAGATTTATGCAACTTGATTCCATCAATTTCATAAATTTATCTATTTTCTTTGAATCTTCATGCAGCTTCATCTTCTTATTTCTTGAAAACTATGGCGTAAGGAAGCTAGAAGCACTTTTTGCAGTCCTCATTGCAGTCATGGCAATCTCATTTGCATGGATGTTTGGTGAAACTAAGCCCAACATGAAGGAGCTTCTTGTTGGTGAGCAATCACAATTTAAAACCAATCTTTAATAATTTACAATCCAATCCCTAATATCATTTATCAAGAAACATTTTCTTTCTTTTAGGTATTGTGGTTCCACAGCTCAACTCAAAAACAATCCAACAAGCAGTAGGAGTTGTCGGCTGCATTATAATGCCACACAATGTCTTCCTACATTCAGCACTTGTACAATCCCGAGAAATCGATCCGCGAAAAACGGGTCGGGTCAGAGAAGCAATCAAATACTACTCAATAGAATCCGCCATAGCACTTGCAATCTCTTTCATCATCAACCTCTTTGTAACAACCGTATTTGCAAAGGCATTCTTTGGAACTGCAATTGCTGACACAATTGGTCTTGGAAATGCTGGGCAGTTTCTAGAAGATAAATTTGGTGGTGGAGTGGTCCCCATTTTGTATATTTGGGCAGTTGGGTTGTTGGCAGCCGGGCAGAGTAGTACAATCACGGGCACGTATGCCGGGCAGTTTATTATGGGCGGGTTTCTTGATTTGAGATTGAAGAAATGGGCAAGGGCTTTGATTACAAGAAGTTGTGCTATAGTTCCTACTTTGATAGTTGCTTTGATTTTTGATAGTTCTGAAGACACTTTGGATAGTCTTAATGAATGGCTGAATGTGCTTCAGTCTGTTCAGATTCCATTTGCTCTTATTCCCCTTTTGTGTTTGGTGGCTAAAGATGATCTCATGGGTGTTTTCAAGATTGGCCCTTTTCTAAAGGTATCCTTTCTTTTTACTTAATGAGCTTAATGGGTTAAGACACTAATGAATTTTGGTTATGTTTGCAGACAATCTCATGGCTTGTGGCTGCTTTAGTGATAGCAATAAACGGGTATTTATTGCAACAATTTATTGCTGAAGAAGTGAGTGGAGTGGTGCTTACTTCTATAGTCATAATATTCACTGCAGCATATGTTGCATTTGTTGTGTACCTTATCTGGCGAAGCATTACTGTTTCTACATTCGGTTTCTTGAAGCCAAATAGTCAAGTAATTTAGAGCTTTACACGAAGGTATATATATGTATTATTTTTGGGTTATTTTATTGACATAATGTTAGGTCTAGCAAAGAAAAAAAGGTCAGATATGACATTGTTATGTTGAAGCAAACTAGCAATGTAGTAAACTGTCATTGTTGGTTACCTTTTTTAAAGGCTGATTATGTTGCCTGTAATGTATGAGTATGTAACCTGACTTTTTCAAGAAAGGTTAAAGTAATCAATCTAATTGCTCTGGTTTTTTGGCAATCTAATAATATCTAACTTCTATTATAAGCATGATTGATTGTTAAATGTTAGCAAGTAACATTTGTGGATTTTCAACAAAACTATTTGTAACACCCACTTGAAATCATGGCATGTTGACCATGTACATAGCTTAAAGCTTAGAAGGTGATCAAGAAAGACTTGTATTGCTACTAGTTTCCCAATTTAAAACTTTTTCTCACTCTTTTGTCATTTAGTTTGGGTTGTTACAACGTGGACTCATCTATCTTTAAGTCAAGCAACATGAACAATTTACAAAGCTTTTTGTTACATCAAATTGATAAGAATGCTTAAACATGATTTCATCAAAAGAAGCCGAACAATGTTTGACAATATACTTTCATGCATTTGCAATAGTAATTAATGTCATGCTCTATGCAATATTTCGTAGACCTAAACATACATGGATTATGGATACATGGTTGCTTGGTTAGAGCTTTATTATTAACTACATCATTACAAGAAAGGAAAAAGATCTATAAGTAGAGAAACAATCTACTGTTAACCTTGCAAAAGCCCAAGATAAAAAAAACTCAAATATAAAAGGGGCCAATAACATATTATGCTAACCTTTCTCTCAAACTCACAATGTAATAACAATAAACATTACGAGTTTGTCAGACAAGAAACAAAATCGAGATAGTCTTTGGGAAAATATCAATAATCTGCAAAGTTGACGACACGTTTGGTAACAAAATGGTTCCTAGTTGTAGATGATGGTGTTGAAAATAACAATCAGTCTCAATATGTTCTATCTGATCATGGATACATAATTCTTTGCAATCTGCATCGCATTATTGTTGTCACAATGTAAGAGAGTAGGTTGAGACATATTAACACTAGTTATATGCAAGTAGCCAACTTAATCAAACAATCTCACAAGCAGTCACAACAATAACTCGATATTCAGCCTCTATAGAAGACCGAGAGACACCATCTTGTTTCTTACATTTCCATGAGATAAGTGTCACGAAGATTTTTCAAAATACAAAGAACATCTCCCTAATGAACAATAGCAGGAATAGTAATAAATTGGCTAACTAAATGAGCTATATTGAGGGTGAGTGACAGTAAGATATACCAAACTGCCCACAACAGTACGATACAAGCTTGAAGTTGATAAAGGAACACCACCAGTTGTAATATATCAGATATTGGTTTCAAGGGGTGTGTTAATAGTTATTTTGTCAGTAAGCCTAACACATTCAAACAGATCAAAAATATATTTTGATCGACTGGGATAGAAGATATTCTTTTGGAGATTTATTAACCCTAATACCCAAAAAATAACGAAGCAACCCTAAGTCTTTCATAGTAAAACGATGAGCCAAAATCACGCTTCAAGGACTGAATGTCAACATAGTCGTCACCAGTAATAATCATGTCATTTATATATAATAATAGAAGAATCTGTCATGCACTTGTGCATCAAACAAAGCTGAATCGTGATTACTAGGAACAAAACCAAGAGAAATAATTACCATAGAGAACTTTTCAAACCAATCACAAGGGGCATGTTTTAGGCTATATAGGGCTTTTCGAAATCAGTAGACTTAACCTGATTGGTGAACAATGTAGACCTCCTCATGAAGATCATCATTCAAGAACACATTATTGACATCCATTTGGAAGATCTTCCACTAGCGAATGGATGCAACTGCTATCAACTTACGAACAATTGTCATTTTTGCAACATGAAAAAAAGTCTCCTCGTAATCTATATCGTATTTTTGCAAGTATCTTTTACAAAAAGTCTGGCGTTGTACCACTCGACAGTTGGTTTTAATCTTGTATACCCAATCAAAACCAATTGTATGCTAAAAAGGATCATATATTGCCTCTGTATAGGACCCCGGTTCTAAAAGATCATGTATTTTGCCGAGGCGTGGGCTGCAAATTTCTTTTAGAACGGCGAATATATATATATATATATATATATATATATATATATATATATTAAAATAACTAGCAAGACGCTAGAAATAGTTATAAACATTAATACAAACAATAGAAGGAGAACAACACCACATATTCCAATTAAAAAAAAATTAAAGTTGACACAATGCTTGAACCATTTGTAGGAGATGAGCTAAATATCGTCCGCCGTTCTCATAGGTAAGCACCTATTTTCTTGGATACGAATATGTTTCGAGATTTCCAAATTAACCAAATAGTAATATAAATAAGACTCAACTTCATTCTTTTGTAATTCTTGCTCAACCCATTGCGACTTAATAATAATAGGAAGTCATCAAAGCTTGCAGGAGGGGAGGGGATTATACTCGACCAGTTATAAAGCCAATGCCAAACAGCCCGAGAGAAGTGACACTCGAAAAACAGATGGGTAATGTCTTCGATAACATCCTAGCAAAAAGGACAATCAGAGGTGCGTAAGTTAACTCCCATTACCACAAGATTTCTAGCAACCGAAATCCTGTTTTGCAAAAAAACACTGAACAAAGCAATTGGTTTTTAGGGGAACCCATGAAACCAATTGAAATTTCACCAAGGCATCACTCGTGTCAGCATCATCCATCAGTTTCTTTAAGGATTTAACAGAAAACAGACCATTATTGTCGGTATTCCATGACAACGAATCAGAAAAGGGGGAAGTTTGCAAACCTGAGACCAATCTGTGTTAACCGGATAAAAAGATTAAAAAAAGTCTAAGGGTGCGTTTAGTTGCGGAAAATGGACCGTTTTCCGGAAAAATTTTCCAAAAAAATGAGAATTTTGAAAACGCGTTTAGTTCGTCTATTTTTCTAAAATTTTCACGGAAAATGAAAATTTCTCGTTTTCTAAAATTACAAAGAAGTTGGAAAATGAAAACTGAATAAGTTTTAACTAAACACTTTTTCTATATTTTCCAATGAAAAATAAAAATGGAAAATAAAAACTAAAAAGTAAAAACAAAAATCCATAACAAAAAAAAAACCTAAAAATTTTGGTAGTACGCATTGACTTACGAGGTGGCAGAAGATCTCAAGATCCATAGTCACAATAGATGACATGGTTGTCTCAAGTGTACGTAGACTATGACTAGTTTGTGGGTCATCAAATATAGTGTCATCAATTTCAGTAATTTAATTCTTATATAATTATATTTTTGTTTATTTTAGTGACTTCTTAAACATCCTTAATTTGGAGTTTGTTGTAAAACGCAGTTGGGAGTTAATGATTAGTCGGATAATCTGAAATTTTATAAAATTTTATATATTTTATTATAGTTATATAAAATTAAAAAACCATATGATATCAATAAGTATTTTATCTATGTTTTGAATAACATTTGATATCTATTGGGTCATCAAGACAATGTCGTTTTAAACGTGAGAATTTAAAGCTTAGGGCAAACAAAATGAAAGAAAAACATGTTAGTGTATGTTTCACATTTTCTAACTATATATTAACAGATATTTATCAACCATATATTATACTTTTATAAATATATTAGTTATGTTAGTTTGGTGTAACTATAATAGAATGAATTATATTTGTCAGTTTAGGAGAAAAAATAATTGATGGAATTAATGCATTCTCAAAAAGTTAATTAATAAAACACTTTATAAAAATAATACTGTATAAGTATAATAATCATTAATCAATAAATATAACTTCTTTTGGAGACAAGGCTTTGTTCTAGCTCTTTAGGTACTCTTTACTCTTCCAGAACGACGTCGTCGTTCTGCGCCAGTAGACTTCATCGGACCTCCTACCGGAACAAGTCCGGTGATCACCAATGACACAATTCCCCTGGACACCGGCCTCGTCTACCACCGCTGCCGTGCTCCTCTCGAATTTTGTGTTGTTGGTTTGGGCCGCCGTCGATGATTCAAGCACTGTTATTCTCCGTCCTCCCCATGATGGTAGCAATCGTCACACCATGTTTCTACCTCTTTTTCCTTCTCCTTCCTCCTCCTCCTTCTCCGGCGACGGAAAATCTCGGCGTCGCCTCCACACATCCGATGCTCCTAGCCCAAACGCTCGAATGGCTCTCCACGACGATCTCCTCTTCGACGGGTATCTGTTAACCTTTTCTCGATCAATTTGAAAGAAGATTTGAAGTAAAAAATAAAAGTAAGTATTGATTATTAGGTATTTCACGACGAGTCTGTGGATTGGGTCTCCGCCGCAGAAGTTTGCTCTGATAGTCGACACCGGTAGCACTGTCACTTACGTTCCATGCTCCACCTGTCAACGATGCGGCAACCATCAGGTTCTAATTACATCATCTTCATCTTCTTCAATTCGATTCATCAACTCTTTAATTATGCAACCAATCTTGTTAATTCACAGGACCCAAAGTTCAATCCATATTTATCGAGCACATACCAACCTGTAAAATGCAATGCCGGTTGCAGCAGCTGCGCCAACGACACGCTGCAACAATGTTTATACGAAAGAAAATACGCGGAATTGAGCACAAGCAGCGGCGTTCTTGGTGAAGATGTTATATCTTTCGGCAACTTAGGCCAGGTTTTACCTCAACGTTCCATTTTCGGCTGTGAAAACATGGAAACCGGTGATCTCTTCACTCAACATGCTGATGGAATAATGGGTTTGGGTCGTGGTGATCCGAGTATAGTCGATCAACTTGTTGATAAAGGTGTAATAAGAGATTCGTTTTCTTTGTGTTATGGTGGCATGGATACCGGCGGTGGTGCCATGGTTCTCGGTGGTATTTCACCTCCGTCAGGAATGGTCTATGCTTACTCAGACCCTGCACGCAGGTATATATATAATATATGTATATATCTATCTTTCATCTACATATATATGAAACTTCTTTTTTTCTGATCATATAGCCCATATTACAACATTAAGCTGAGAGGGTTACACGTCGCCGGAAAGCGGTTGGATTTGAGTCCGAGTGTTTTTGATGGAAGGCTTGGAACAATCCTAGATAGTGGAACGACATATGCTTTCCTACCTGAAGCAGCTTTTCTTGCATTTAAAGATGCTGTAAGATTTAATCTTTTTAATTTGCGTTTCTTTAATTAATTACTATCTACCATTGTTAATTACTTTTTAAATCATATATATATATATATATATATATATATATATATATATATATATATATATATATATATATATATATATATATATATATATATATGCAGATCATGAAAGAACTCCATAATGTGAAACAGATCAATGGGCCTGATCCAGGTTATAATGACATTTGCTTCTCCGGTGCTAAAAGGTGGATATATAAATGGATATATGTGTAGTTATAATTACATATATATGAATTAATGTTGTGTTCTAAAGTACAAATTAACTAATGTCAAGTGGTTGTAAAATTGTAATTACTTTAGTGACGATGGTTCACAGCTACTGAGAACATTCCCGACGGTTGATATGGTGTTTGGAAAGGGACAAAAACTGTCACTAACCCCAGAGAATTACTTGTTCCCTGTACGTAAGCATTTATGGTTGTATTTAGAAAACGAAATTCATTCTTGTCTTTTATTTTTTTTATTATTAGTATTCTGATGAGTTTTTATTATATATGTGAAGCATTCAATGGTGGAGGGTGCATATTGTTTGGGGATTTTTCAGAATGGAAAGGATGCAACGACTCTTTTAGGAGGTAATTCAACATCTTAATTATTCTTTGAATTTCAATTAATGAAAATGTTGTGTAATTTAATTATATGTTTGTTAAACAGGCATTCTTTTTCGCAATACTTTGGTTATGTATGATCGTGAACATAACACGATTGGATTTTGGAAAACTAATTGTTCTGATTTATGGGGAAGACTTGATGCTTCAACTGGAGATATGTCTCCAGCTTCATCGGCTTCAAACAATAATTCTCCACGTAAGATCTTTGGAATTCACTCGTACAAAAAGAACATGAAAAGTGCAGGAAATTGTTGGTTTTCTTTTTCATTAAAACGTTATTTCTAAACCGAGTTTGGATAATTTGGTCTGTTTGTTTATTTTCAACAGGGTCGTCGAGTGATGTTGGCTCCGGAAGATTTATATCATTACAACTGATTGCTCTGGGAATCATTTTGTTTCTATTAAGTAATCATTACGCTTTTGGTGTGTAATAATTTTTGTAGTTCATTATTTCAATATGTAAATTTGATGTCAATATGTAATGTTTGTTGGGCTTCCCTCTTCTTGGAGGATGGCCCAAGGCCCAAGGGGGGATGGAGGATATTATTGTTCAAAGAAAAAGTGGTAGGTTTTCTTATGGAAGAACATAAAGAAAAATATCAACACATATAGAGAAGAAACTGTAAAAATAATATCAAAAAATAAATGTTTTTGTACGAACTTTGGCCCGGGTTTTAGAGGTGCCTTCCTAGTTCCTAACTCATGATTGTTTAATCTGAAAGATTTGGATTGCATTTGGAGGAAGTTAGATGTGCATTATGTATGGCCTATGAAACATAACGTTGTTTTGTTCTAGTTTAGTTATGTTGTGAGTTTGGTTTCCAATATGGGTTTTCTTGAAGTTGTGTGCTTCTATATTTCCCTTTGTTACCCACTATATTTGGTTATAATGTAAGCACTCATCGTCTCATTCTCTCCTTTTTATATTCTTCACAACACAATAAGGTTTTCCCATGTTAAAATCTGTTGCTATCGTATTTTTGTTTATCTCCATTAATTAAAAGGCTTGTTGTTTTTCCTCAAGGTTGGATAGATTTTTGCTTTCTACAAAAAAATCATCATTTAGTTTGAGTTTGATTTCCGACGATTCACAAAGACAGAGGAAATAATTACTTTGTGTAAAACCGGAAAATATGTTTATATAGAAATTCTTGTAGATATATCAAAGCCCAATCAGGCTAGCTATATACGTATGTAATTATGTACATGTCTAAAGTAGGCTACCGAAAACAATAGTTAGGAGAGTGGAGCTAGTCACAATGGGTAGCAGAAGGAGGAGAGGACGTCTTTGAAGGGAGTGAAATATAGTGTGATGTTAGACACAAATGAGTTGGCTCTTAAAGGACATTACATCATATAAAAAGACGTGGAGGCTTAGTATTAGAAATGTAGAGTAGCCTAGGTCCCATTGTCAACTTGTCCAATGTTTTTGCGCCTTCATTATGTTTTTCCATTCTTGTTTTTTGAGTAGTGCAATTTCATTGTGTCCGAACCTGCTAACCATTAGTGAAACCAACCAAAAATAGGTAAAATGATGTTGGTGATTTTAGTGTCGCTATGTCATTTTATGTAATTACAACTAACATGTGAGCTAAGAGATTTCATAATTTGTACTCTAATATATGTACAGGTTTTGCGGAGTGCACGCATGTATAAGATCAAATTAGAAGCCAGATTGACGACAAGTCGGGGATCTGGGGGCAGCGCTCCTGGGTCCGGGGTTTCCAAAGGGGTAGCACCCCTTTGGCGGGGTCTAGGGGCAGCGCCCCTAGCGGGGTCCAAGGGGCAGAGCCCCTGGTTGGGGTCCCGCTGACGGCTAACCCTAAATCTTGTTTGTTATATAAACGACTCTTCTCTTTGAGAAGAGACACACAATTATTAGCTCTCTTTTCTTCAAACGGACATAGAATCCTTCTAGCAATTTGGCTTACGATTTATGTGCCTAGATTTGTAAGTGTCATCTTGGATTATCCTAGGCTGAATTTCTTGTAACCCAGGCATAGAGTAAAAATATCAGTTCAGAAAGTTTTCACATGATCCAAGGGGTATCCAGATCTCCAACATAAACCCTAATTCCTCCAACAAACACCCGATTATTAAATATTGTTGGGACCATATTGTACGCAGTTTTAGGCTCAAAAATTAAAAACCCTAACTCTACATGTAGATCTCAGTGAAATTATATATAAACTCTCTATACAAATAGGGATGAAAATGGGACGGGGTTGACCATCCATGACCCGTCCCCAAGTGCCTAACCTTATCCCCATCCCTATCCCCGATGGATGTGAGGAATCAAATCCTTTTCCCTTTAGATTTTGGACTTTTCCTTGGCCTATCCCCGACCCATCCCCGATTTATCAACATAATAAAATCAACTTACGCAAAAAATAATTTCAAGTTTAATAAGTTATCAAAACTAGATGACATAATTAAATTGTGTTTACATTAATCATAAAGTTTAACAAGCATCAAAACGAGAACTGATGATTTGGTATATGGACCGTCGAACGAAGTAACAATTGACGAACTCTTAGAATTGAAAACGTAATTTGATATATACACTTTGTCTCTGATGGTCTAATACATATCAATTCATGCTTGGACTTCATTCAAATTCAATAAATTACCAATATATATATATATATATATATATATATATATATATATATATATAGAAGTATGTTCAATCGAGAACATTTCTTATTGCGAGAACATTTGATAACAAATTTTGACTACTAATTTTTAAATGTTGAAATTTTAATGATATGTTAAAAAAAATATTTTAATTTTATTAAAACATAATTAGAACTTTATTTTTATAGACACACTCTCTCTTCTTTCTCTCTCTCTAAGTATCTCTCTCATCTTTCTCTCTCTATGTCTCTCTCTACATATCTCCCTCCCATTTCTCTCTCTACATATCTTTCTCCCGTTTCTCTCTTTACATATCTTTCTCTCTCTACACATCTTTCTGGGTAATTTGAACCAACATCACCATTGACGAAGCTCATCGTTAACTATCTCTCCCGCAAGTCCCAATCGACAGTGAAGTTGATCTCTACAAAGACGGTCTTTGAGAGCTTCCTGGTAGTAATTTTTCAGTCTATACACCTACGTTTTTTCAACCTAAATTGACTCGATTTCTCACGAAATTCATGAAATTAAGCTTATAATGAATGACTAATCGATGTCTAATACTTGATTTCACATCATAGAATATATTCTACGTGAAAAATTCCCTTATGTTTTCCTGTTGTTGATGAATTACGAACTTGCTTGTTCATTTTCTTACTTTTGTGAGGAATTATATGTATAGTTGGATTGTTTTTATTGAAAATTGTAAGCTCTAGGGGCTGAATTGGAGTCTATTAGAGAGTTGATGGTCACTGTAGGATTTCATGCACACCAGGTGTTTGTCATATTGTCTGAAAGAACCTAATAAGTGTGAAAGTGGCAGTTTATGTGAAAATCCTTAACTTTGAACCCTCATTAAGCCAATAATTAAGGCCCTTAGTTTAAATTGAATTTCACATCTCTATAGCCTAATAAGTAACCAAAAATCATGTTAAAAGTGATAAACTTAAGGCTTAACCATTAATTACTTAATAGAACACCAAAAGTGATTTAGAAGCTATTATGATCAATTTTCTGAAATCTGTCCTCCAACTTCTAAAATCCGTGCAGGTCAATAAGAACATTTAAAAACCATGAGACTTAGTTTCCTGGAACTCTTAGTGTGTCTAGTTTCTTCAAACTTTGAATCACATTTCGGAATTCCAACTCCTTGAGGGGTAAAATTGGCAATTTTCTCAGGCTGGTCCATGCTGTCACAGATTTCATGCATTGTCTTCAAAAAATCATAATAAATTCATCAGAACTTCAAATGCTAAAATTCCAAATCCTATAGTTAGATATGGATGTATAGTCTCCCACATATAAAGGAACTGATGTAATTCTTAGTAGATTGGTACAGTTTATTCAAAGAGTGTTGAGTGGTCCAGAAAGTGACAGCTTAAAGTTACTAACTTGTAAATTTAATATAAAATCAACCAAAAATCGTTAGAATGAGATATTTATATTTATGAATAGATAAAAGGGGTTACTTTACCAATATTATTTTATTGAAATTTAAGAATGGGTTGAAAGGTAAGAAAATAGATCCCAAACAGAGCACTACAATCAAAGAGAAAATAAGGAAATATGTACATAAGTTTTATAAGAGTAATACAACAAAGCACAAGCTAAATAATGTTATAATTCTTGTGTAGGTTCTCAGAAAGGAAATGATCCATCTAGCTCAAGCTAGCTAATTTTCAAGTTCAATGAGGTGAGTTACACTAACTCTCCTATTATGTAGGCATTACTTTTTTTATGTTATTGTTCACGGATACCCTAATCCGGTAGAGTGAACAAGGAAATGCAGAATGCATTTTGTTCTCTAGTGAGACAAGCAGACAAGATTCATTTCCGCTTTCTCGATTTGTTAATTGTTCTCATGTATTAAATCATATGTGATTATATGATCTATTCACATATGACTTATATGCACAAAATTCATTTTTATGTTTTCGATTCAATAGTTGTTCTTTGTCCATATTAATCGTATGTGATTAAATACATAAAATGACATATGATTAAATACATAATAACAACTAGATTAAATACATGATAACAACTTCTGAATTGAGAATGCGAATTTGAATCTTATTCACATAAATCATATGTGATTAGATACGTATAATCTCTTGTGATTAAATACACAAGAACAATTATTGAATCAAGAACACGAAAATGAATATTGTCCACATAAACCATAAGTGATTAGATACATATAATCACATATGATTATATGTATCTAATCACATATGATTTATGTGGATAAGATTTATTTTTACGTATCTAATCATATGTGATTAGACACATATAACCACATGTGATTATATACACGATAACAAACAATGAATCAAGAACGCGAAAACAAATCTTTATCCACATTCAACATATGTGATTCAATACATCTAATCACATGCGATTATTTGGATCTAATCACATATGATTTATGTGGACACAATTCATTTTTGCTTTGTCGGTTCAATAGTTGTTCTCGTGTATTTTATCATATGTGATTATATGTATAATCACACGTGATTAAGTAGAGGAGCATAACTATTGAATCGAGAAGGCAAAAATAAATCTTGTCCACCTCAAATCATATGTGATTATATATAAATATAAGTACATGTGATTAAATACACAAAACCAATTATTTAATCGAAACCGCAAAAATAAATATTGTCTACTTAAATAATGTATGATTAAATACAAAAATCACATGTGATTATATGTATCTAATCACATATGATTTATGAGGATAAGATTCATTATCACATTCTCGATTTAGTAATTGTTCTTTGTCAACTATAATCATACGTGATTAAATACATCTAATCACATGTGATTATATGTATCTAATCACATCTGATTTATATGGACAAAAAAGAATGATGTCAATATAAATCATATGTGATTAGATATATATAATCACATAGGATTATATACACGAGAACAACTATTGAATCGAGAACACAAAGATAAATATTGTGAAACATCCCAAAAATACCGACCAAATATTTCTTTTTTAAAAACATTATTAAACCATAAATATCATCGTCATTGTAACACCCCGTTTATTTATAAGATAAATAAATAAATTAATGAATGAATAGTATCTCTAAAATAAATAATTATATATCAAAGGATGGTTT